GTCAAGGCCTGTATGTCAGTCCTGGAATAAAGCAGTCCTGCCTGGTGTGGACCTTCATCCATGACACTTCCAGGATTGCCTGTCTTGATCCGAGGTGGCGTGACAGGGTGGGAAGAAGATTAGCACTGGGGTGAGACAAATCTAGATTTGAACTCTGTCTACTACTCACTTAGGTTGGAAAGAGTAGAGAACATACTTAGGAGGGCTCAGTGTCATCATTCGGAAAATGCAGCTCCGCTGCAGAGCTGCTGTCAGAACTGCTATACTGGCCTGTGGCGACCCTGGCATAGTTGGTTTCTTTCCCTCTGCTTTATTTAGCTTTCAGCTAGATTTTAAGCAATTTGGGGGATGGGAATGGGAAAGGGAACTAAGATTTTAAACACCTCCCATATGAAGAAAAGAGCTGGAGTCACTAAATGAGGGGCTGGGGAGCACCTTCAAGGCCATACAGAATCCTCTCATTCTAGAGATGAGAGCACTGGTCACATTGTACATTTTCCACATTCACCACAGTTGGTGTTGGGCAACTGGGAGACCTCCGAGTGAATGTTCGGTGATGGATAAAGTGACTTGGGAATACCTCGTAAAGAAATGAGACTTAATCTTATGGTGAGAGCAAAAGTCACTATTTGGCACCACGTAACAGACCTCACTTACCTCACTGCTTTGCTTAGACTGGGGTCTGGTTGTCCCACTTCTGGTTTGGTATCTCTCAAAGAATGCTTGCTGGCCTACCTTCCTTGAAAGATCTTCAGAGGGTTCAAGGTCTGAGCTTAAATGAAAGTTACTCAAAAATAGGTGCTCAGAATTTATAAAACATTTTTAGCTGTATAACCAATTCTATAAGACCAAAAGAAGAGTTAATTTAAAAAAAAAAAAAGATATTTAGGGGCACCTGGGTGGCTTAGTCACTTGAGCATCTGACCCTTGGTCTCAGCTCAGGTAATGATCTCATGGGTCAGGAGATGAAGCCCTGCACTGGGTTCCACTCTCAGAAGATTCTTTCCCTCTGCCCCTCCCCCCATTCACACTCGCAAGCTTGCTCTCTTTCTCTTTCTCTCAAATAAGTAAATAAATCCTTAATTAAAAAATAATACTCAACCCAAAGTCAAATCTAACTTAGAGTAGAAGGCAAATATAGGTCCTACTGTAAAGATAAAAGATGCAAGAAAACAAAGACTAACTATAACTCTGTTATTTTCTCCCAAAAAGGAGGCAGTATCTTCCATGTCTGCCCAAGCAACTGCCTGGGGTACTTCCTCTGTTTTCTTGCTCTCCCTAGCACTCAGTACGTGTGACGTATTGTATTTACTTGTTTATTCAATCGGGGCCCATCTCTACTCACGCGAATATGAGTTCCACAGGGGCTCAGACTTGGTCTCTTTTATTCACGGATGTATCCCCAGGGCCTGGTACAGTTCCGGTCACATAATTGGTTCACAATACATATTTGTTGAATAAACGAGTGAATGAATAAACAAGTTTGGGCAGGGAGAGGAGCAGTCACATGGTGTGGATAAGGAAGTACGATACGTGGCTACCTTATGCCTACAAAAGTTGCCTCTAGGGGCATCTGGGTGGCTCAGTGGTTGATCGTCTGCCTTTGGCTCAGGTCGTGATCCCGGAGTCCTGGGATGGAGCCCCACATCAGGCTCCCTGCAGGAAGCCTGCTTCTCCCTCTGCCTATGTCTCTCCCTCTGTCTCTCTGTGTCTCTCATGAACAAATAAAATCTTTTTTTAAAAAAAAAAAGTCGCCTCCATGTCTACTAGCCAGCGAGAATATCTCTCTTGCTGCTCTGATTTCATCATCACTAAGTAACTTTTATTTTTTTAATTTTTTTAAAGATTTTATTTGTTGATTTATTTATTTGAGAGGGAGTGAGCAGGGGGAGGGGCAGAGGGAGAGGAAGGGAATCTCAAGCTGACACCGCACTGAGCCCTGAGCCAGACTGGGGGCTTGATTCCATGACCCTGAGATCATGACCTGAGGCCAAACCAAGAATCAGATGCTCAACTGACTGAGCCCCACAGGCACCCCTAAGCAACTTTTTTTTTAAAAAAGATTTTATTTATTTATTTGAGAGAGAGTGAGAAAGAATGAGCAGTGGGGGAGGAGCAGAGGGAAAAGCAAGCTCTTTGCTGAACAGGTTGCTCAATGTGGGGCTCAATCCCAGGAGCCTGGGATGGTGACCTGAGCAAAAGGCAGACAGTAGATGCCTAACTGACTGAGCCCCCCCCCCCCGGGCCCCTAAGCAACCTTTGATTTAAATCTTCCTATATGCACCTTCCTACAGATGGGGATACAAGGATCACAACTGGGGTGCACTTGGTAGGATCATTTTTAACTGTAAATTAATAGGTTGGCATTTCATATTTTCAAATTGGTTTCTATTTAAAACAATTTCGAGGAACAGACTCTCAACCAGGCTGGAAAGCTGTGGTGAAAGGAGCCAGGAGTAGCACACAGGGGAACTTGAGTTCTAACTCTCCTTTTGCCTCACCTGTGTGGCCTTAACAAATCACTTTTTTAAAGTGATTTTAAAAAGTGATTTACTGGGCTTTACTTTGCCCACAGAGGCACTGAACTTGATAATCGCTGAGTCCCTTCCATTTTCCAAGTTGGCCTTCTATAAAAATTAATAAAGTAGGCTCTTCCATATATTTTGACTTCCTCTGAGAGGCATTAACAGGTGTCTCATGTCATCGTCTATTGGCGGTATAGTGTGGCTCACCTGGCTCGTGGGGGTCAGCGCCTTCCCTGAGGTCAGTTATCATCCCCATGAAAAGACAATGTCCTCATTAAAAATCTAAACTGGGAAACACCCTAGGGGAAGTGGAGGGCACACAGCAACTCTTTTCACATTCCAAATTGTACAAGTGCGTGGGTGTGGGGAGGTGGAAGGAGATGCAGAACGGGAGGAAAGACAAGGCAGAGAGTAGAGGATGTCTAGGTGATGGAAAGGCAGGTGCAGAGAACATGGGTTTGGAGTCGCTCGGTTTTCCACTACAGCCTGGTAGACACTTGGGTTGACGAATGAGAACGTGCCCATTTCAGCAGATACGTGAAGCTATTTCCATTATGAGCCATGTCACCATGGGGGAGGGCAAGAACGGAGTGTCCCATAAATTTATCTTCCTTAGAGGTCTGACTTACTCATTTGCCAAAGCTGTCCCACGCCTGCTCTCCCTGTAACTTTCTCAGCATTCATTATCTGGCTGTCCTTGAGATCTTAATTGTCCATTTGTGATAGTTGGTTATCTCTCAGATTTACACCTTCATGTCAGACTTCTCACCTGAGTTCTGGTCTTACATGACTGCTTACCTACAAATCAATACCATGTAGATATAATTACTTTAAACATAATGTGACAAAAGCAAACTTAGCACGACCCCCCTTCCCAGCTCACTCTGCTTCTATCAATGACATCACTAATCCCATCCTGAGGCTTAGATTTGAAGTGATTTCTCACCCTCAGAACCTTTTATCAATAATCACCCACAACCTCCATAAACAACAATAACAAAGTTGTCAGGCTGCTCACTGTTCAATAAATGTTCACTGTCCTGCTATTTGTATCATGAGCTGAAATGGTCTGGTCGACCACCCGAGACTGCTGAGGTGTCTCACAGAGGCTCTTGTCTTCACCTCCTTTCTCACACTTCCACCTTAACCCACCATCCATTCGTGCCTAAACTCTTGAAGTAGCTTTCTGACTGGCCTCCCAATCTCTAATTTTTCCCTGCTTCCATCCATCTCAAATAAATTCAGGTGGATCCTTTTTGAAATCACTTTCAGCAAGTCACAGTTTGTCTACAAACCGAGCGAGGGCTCCTGTTTACCGATCACAGGTGTTTACTAACTCCTTTGACATTTAAGAGCTTCAGTCAACGGCTCCTCTTCCCCAAGCCACACATGATCTCTATTTGTCTCTATTCAACTCACATTTGTTTGAGCATCAAGTGTGTGCTAGTCATTCTATCACCGACTACCCCCCAGCATCCCCTTCCTCAGTTAAGCTCAGCTTATAAGATCCTCACCTGCAGCCACCACAGTGATACCTGCCTTTCAGACTGCTCATACTCTTGTCCTGCCAGGAATCTCCTCCTTTCTGCCAATCCAGATCTGATACCTCTTCCAAGACACACCTTCTCCCAAAGGTTCCCCATGTGAATGAATCCCAGACCACACCAATCTTCCTTTCTCTGAATTCCTTTGGCATTCTCACACCAGATTTCTATTGCTAAGTATTGTTCTCTTATTATTTCACATGCATTTGTTGCTTTCCTCGACTGAAATGTGAGCTCCAGAAGAGCAGGAGCTAAATCTTTTTCTCTTCTCTTACCCAGATCTGGAACGAGCAAGGGCCGACGTGAGGCCAGGAAGGGCCCTGATTTTGCACATAGCTCACAGACAAGGCCCATTTGCCGCAGTGTAGGCAATAAAGGTAAGGGCACCAAAGACCTAAGACTAGCTCTCAGCACAAGCACGGAGACTGGGCCACGTTCTGAGACATACTTGTTACATGCTGAATTACATTTTTAAATATAATTCAAGTCCCTTACACATCAGGCATTCCTCTAGTGAAAAAAAATCTCTACCGAAATACAATGGCTGATAGAGCCTAGCAGGTCTCAATCACTAAACAGATTTTGAAATTCTTCACTCTTCTTGGCCAGAATGCCAGGTCCAGGGGGGACAAGACGGCACCTTCTCTCGCTGACTCTATCAGAAGTTGTCCCTACCCCTGGAAGCTACCTACAAGTTAGCACCAGTCCATGTCCTTGAATCAAAAGTTGTCTGACTTCAGTACAAGCCAGATATTCCCAGGGAAACCTGTAAGCCCGGCTCCCCTCCTCTCAGTCCAGTTACACAACGTCTTGTCCAAACCTAGAACCCAGCCAGGTGGTTGGTGTGCAGCCAGCCCCTTGCAGAAGGCCCGGAAAACGCCCCCTTCCCCAGGAGTTCTTAGAAGGGGTACGGAGAGGGAGGCAGACTTACCCTCACATAGTAGTTCATGCCCATCCCCAACAGGTGCTGCAGAAAATGCCTGTCCTGCCTGCTCCCTGGGGTTGGCTGCCCAGGGCCAGGAAGGGGACAGGCCTCGGGAGTTAGGACAGGTGCCCTGTGCCCCACCGGGCCTGGCTGCGGCAGAGGTGCGGACCCAGCGCTAGTGAGGCCGGCTTCGGGGCAGGCCGGGCTGCTGGGAGCCGGGTCCTGGCTTTCCTGGAGCTTCAGCCGGGGCACCTCTTTGGTACCCAAGCAAAAGTTTTTCAGACTCAGCAAGGTGGCCGGGTTGGCCAGCTTCACCCTGGCCATGCGAGGGATCAAGGTGCACAGTGGGGTGGGGCTCTCCTGGGCCGCCAAGGTGGCCTCTTCAGGCGGCAGGTGAGGTGCCAGGGTGGGGTAGGGAGGCTGAGGCGAGCCCTTGCTCCCCCCCGCGCCTCCTCCGGGGCCGCTTTCGTCCAGGGACGTGATGGACTCGTTGCGAAAGCGGCTGTACTTGGCCCTGTGCAGCATCCCGGGGTGCCCGACGAGTCCTACATACAGCACAAGTCCTGCCAGGCGGTCCTGACCGCGTCTTCGCATAGCCTTGGCAGTGCTGAGACAGGAGACCGTTGCATAAATCGCCGGGTCGTCTGCGGGATCGGCGGGTCGGAAGGCAAACTCGCGGCCGCCGCGGCTCCCAACTCTGCGCGCTCCCCCGCCCGCCTCGGCGACAGCCCGGGGGAGGGGGCTCCGGGGGGGGGGCTCCCCGCCGACTGCTGTCCTCCCCGGCCCCGCGGCAGCACGCGGTGTTCTCGCCTTGGGTTCCTCGCCGGGAAAGCCCGGAGCCAGGCAGGCGGCGGCCGGAACGCTCAGGGCCCGTGTGCGGCTCGAACCCCGCCGCCCGCCGCCGGCCCAGCCCGGCCCGCCGCAGCGCAGAGGTGTTTGGCGCCCCCCACCCCCAGCCTTCCCTTCTGCACAAGGAACTTTCAAACCTGCTCCCTCCGGCTCCCACAGGGCGGGGCAAGGACTGGCCTATTAACCCTTTATTTGTTCCAGTGATTGTTCATTTAAAAAAGGAAGGAAAAAAAATGTATATATGAGCCAAAGGCCTTTCGGCCGGAGCTCGTTGGCCCCGATGGCTGCCCTCTCTTGGAAGGTCTCGTCTTGCATCCCGTCCGGGCCACACGCCAGAAGGACTAGTGACGGGCGCGCTCCGCAGTATCTCAGGGACTTGCAGCCCTCCGAGCGCCTCAGATCCCCTCCCAGCCGGCCCACCCCAGCCCAGAGCTCCCCTCCCGCCTGGGCTCGTCTCAGAGCTTCCTTCAGGAGCCCGTCGGCAGCAGAAGGCTGAGATGTGCAGGATGATGCAGAGTGCTGAAATTTTTATGAATGAACTTTGCTGAATGAATTTCTCCCTCTGTGTGTGCAAGCTAATAAATCTGTGAATGAAGCTGAGAATAGCTGTAATTGACTGATGGTCTCAGGGGTGCTGGGTTTTTATCCAATCAGGCGGCAGCTTGATGACTCATGCAACCATAAATATACTAAACTAGTAGCCAGAAGAAATAAAGCTGGAAGGAGAGATTTTATTTTGTGATATCTGATGAAAGGGTTAAAAGGGAAGGCAGTCTTCACTCGGAATGGTCAGGAAGCTGGGTAGCAGCAGGTTAAAAGGTCTCCTTTCTTTTCTTTTCTTTCTTTTTTCTTTTTTTTTTTTTGTTTAGATGGCCAGGACAGCCAAGCAGAAGAGCTAAAATTTAGATCCATTGTTCCACGGATATTAGGACATATGGTACACAACTCCGGTGGGAAGCCGTGATGCATTTTTCTTAGAAACATAGTTCTTTTTTTATTGATTGCTGGTTCCATCTCCCGTCTGGTGCAACTTCCTGTACCTATCAAATGCCTTCTGAAGACATGATGACAACTGCAAAGGCTTAGCACACAGGAAGCCAGGAAGGGAGTCAGGAAAGGGAAATGCAGGTTCTTTTAGGAGCAGAGAAGAGGAAACTGCTGAAACCCAGGGAAGATGTAGACATCGCATATCAGAAGAGATAAGAAAATCTCTGCTGAAGGTTACATTTCTCCGTAGGCCAAAGCTCTGACATCTGAAATTGTTCATTAATTTACAAATTAAAACAATGTGGCCACCGACTGCGGGAATCCGAGATGTCACCTTCATTGTCTTATTGTCCATGAGGCTGCATTGGGCTCATGTGTATTCATGACTTTGGTGGCTTGGGCTCCCTTGGGATCTAAACACAGGGTCGGAATTAAACGGTTGCTTACGACCAACCAAAAGGCATCCTGGCTGCTTCCTGCTCCCCCCAGAGCAAAACAGCACCTTTTCACGTCCTGTCTGCCAAAACCGTTGGGATGTGTTTTTCTGTGGAAAGGCCTTTTTGCATCTTCATAAACCTTCCCTTCAATCCTGGCTGATCTCTTCTCTCCACCTCTATACCTTCTTCTGGCAAAACTGAGAGAGTGGCTAAGGCAGTTGGACCCCCCATCCCCATCCTGGAGGGCAAGGTGTGAAGTAGCCTTCCTCTTTTTCTTTCATCCCCTGGCCTCTTCTCCCCTCCCAGGGCTCCTTGCTGTCACAGACGCCCATGCTATGCGGCCTCGCGTCTAACAGACACGTTTTGAGGGTCCAGGGGATAATACTAGTCCCTGTAAAGCACTTGGCACCACATGCCATACAGTGCCTGCCTCACTAAGCACGTGCCATTCAGTGTAAAGAAAGGCTGCTTTGAACCAGGGCTGCTTGACTCTGAAGCTGGCAGGTACTCCTATCCCCTGTAATACAGAGTCTACACCACGGCCCGCAATTGAAAACTGAGCACAGAGTAGGAAAAGCTGAGAAAGCCAGCACCATTCAAAGAAACAATTTCTTAACAATTGTGTGGGTCTGGGGAAAGAAGGAGCAACAGGAGCCCACCTGGTTAATGGGAGTCCTTGCTGAGGTCTCCTTGACTGGCGGAGGGGGTGCCCGGGGCAACCGGCTCACGGGGGTAGGCACTGTGCTGGCCAGACTCCAGGGGCTCAGGCTGTCCACATTCCTCAGGAGGACTGAGTCCTCGGAGGGCCGACAGGCAGGGTGGATCAGGCGAGACTAGGTAAGGTATGAAGGCAGCCATGGCCACCGTGGGCTGCTTCTCTGTCCCTGGGAGCCCTGGAGACCTTGGCTGTCCTGGGCAGCTCTGCCAGGGCCTATCAGGAAGGTGAAAGGAACCAGATCTGCGTCTTGGGAGTGAGGAACAGCCTGAGAGGCTAATACAGCCAGACAGCTCTCAGCCCAAAGGTGGTGGCTGAAAAGCTGTCCCAACAGCCCAAGAGAAGCTCATTAATTGAGTGCATCTCCAATCTACGTATGTGGGCGGGCTAGGTGGATGGTCTCCTTCTTTCCAGAACATTAGAATATCCTCTTCAATCAGTAATGCTAAAAATAATTAAAGTAAGAACTTCTATTTGTGGAACAAAAGACAGTCTACCTGCTTCTTCGTTCCATCATTATAACAACTCCTGGAGGCTAGGAGGTGTTTTCATCACCACCTTACAGATGTGGAAATGAGGATCAGATTAAGTTTGATGACTTGGCCCAGGTTGCCTGGCTATTGAACAATGATGCCAGGATTGTTCCAGCAGCTCTGGAAAGCCTGTACTGATAGCCACTATACTGTACTGCCTCCCAGGGCACCAGAGAGCTCACATCTAGATCCCAGGCCCATCATCTCCATGTTGCAGAAGAGGCAGTCAAGGCTCTGAGTTTATACTCAGCCACTCTGGTTTATTTACTGGCTTGTCTAAGCCTCACAGCCAGTGAGTCTACACAGCAGGTCTAGTGTAGAACCAAGTGCTGACTCACTTCAATCACATGCCCTTACCTGCTGTGATACCAGCCAGTGTGTACAAAAAACTAACTCACACTTGGCTTTCATTAAATGTTTAGTTTTTGTTCCCTTCTCCTCCTTGGAGATCATATCTATAAAATTCACCCTAAATACCTCACAGGATTGCTAGGAGTAAAAATATGAATAATAGATAAGAAAAGCCATTACTGTCATTAAATCATCAGAGTACCATTAACCCCTCTCATCACTGCCCTTGGAAAACAGGGCTCTGCTTGGACCACTACATTTGCATCCTTTGTTCAGAGATATCCCACCCGCCCCCTCCAAGGATGCCTGCTGTGAATCCACATGCCAGCTTCTTAAGGGACAGCCTGCCCTGGCTGGGCTTCTAGGATGGAACAGGCAGGTTCAAGGAAGAGCTGAGTCAGGCTGGGCTATGATGGGATCAGCCAGGTCCTGCTAGGATTTCTTAGAGGACTGGGAAAGAAGGACACCTGAGAAAAATGCCTGGCCAGCTTTGGAAGATAGCCCCATGTGAGATTTGGGACAGAGGGAGGGTGTGCCAGAGATAGGGCAGGAAGGCAGAGACAGAACAAGACAGAAACAGCTCTGGTGGACTACAGGCCAATTGCTACTTTGGAACGAAGTAGAGCAGGTCACCAGGTACTTTATACCACAAGGACTCTTACTCCAGCCACCAATACCATTTCTATCACAAAGACCTGCTCCTGAAGAGCTTGTACCGAGAATGAGTTGAACAGCTCATCAGTGAGTCATGAAAACATTGGTTAATTTCTATTTCAGGGGGATAAAAGTCCACAAGACAATATTGATATAAAGTTCTTGCAAGGACCAAAATGCCGCTTGAAAAATGGGGAAGTGAAATGGGGCTGGGTCTCAGAGAGTTAGGGCCCAGCTGCACAAAAATAAAGGTAGGTCCATTCCTCCTAGAGTGGCTATTAACTCCAAAAGTAACATCTTCCTTTCACTCCCTCAACCAAATGCTTTCAGTTTTCCTACAGTCTTCAGTCTTGACAGGTAAACAGCTCTCTGATGGTTGCTACTGGCCCTTACTGGCTCTCTTTGACCCCAGGATCTGCTAGAAATAACACAGAAAAATGAGTATTTTCTATCTGTTAAAAATGAGATAACATACCTGGAAGGACTATCCACATCTGCACGGATGTAACTTTTGTTACAAGTGTGTGTGTGTAACTTTTGACTCCCCCAAACCTAACTACTAGTAGCCCACCGTTGCCTGGAAACCTTACAATAACATAAAGTCAATCAATATATATTTTGTATGTTATATGTATTATATACTGTATTTTTACAATAAAATAAGCTAGAGAACTAGAAAATGTTATTAAGAAAATCATAAGGAAGAGAAAGTAGATTTATAGTAATGTACTATATTTATTGAAAAAATCTGTGTATTATAAATGGACCCATGCAACTCAAACCCATGTTGTTCTAAGGTCAACTAACTGTATCTCTCCTCCTCCTAGTCCAGAATGGCTGACAGTGCTCTAGCCATTTCATCTGCACTCCGGATAGCCAAATGGGTGAGAAGACATAGAAGGACATGCTCACTCGCTTTAAAGAAATGTCCTGAAAGCCCAATACAATGTTTCCACTTATATCCCATTAGCCAGAACTTAGTCACATGGTTGCTCCTAGCTATAAGAGACACTAAAATCTTCATATGAGAATGAAGAACTCTTTTGCCTGGTACATGTCTGCTACACATAAAATCATAGTCTGTTACTGAAGGAGAGACTGGAGACAACGGTATTTCCACCAGAGTTATATTCTCAAAAGACTCTCTACCTTGATAGAATTTAGAGCTAGCATAGGATAAAAATGTCCTTGGTCAATGTGGCCTGTTCTCTCCTTTTTTTTCTGCACCTGTACATGCAGGCACACATGTGTACACACACGCACGCACACACACAAACCACATAGGAATGACCCATAAAAAAATAGGTGCTGTCAGAATGGAAGCTTTCCTCTGCATAGCCAGCGGGAGAACTGGAGTCTTTAGGCCTATGAAAAGTAGTCAGGTGCTTCTAGAGCCAGCAGTGGGCAATGACAAGCTGTGGATCCAGGCCACTGCACATGGCAGTCTAAGTGGTTCACTAGGGTCAGGGATATCTTACAAGAAGGAGTGAGTGGGTTGTCGGACAGGTGGTCATAGCAGCCATCAGGAGGTGTCTGACTCAGGAACATGATTCTAACTCTAATTGTGGACTGGCAAGAGAAAAAAGCAAAGACAGGGTCCTGGACAGATGAAAATTCTGGCACTATGAGCTAGCTAATCCAAACTTCATTTCTAATCCTTTTCATTTGCCAGCCTCTACCAGCTAAAAA